CACTCAACATAGAAATTCTACAACGCGAATTCTTGATACAGATAAGCAAATTCGCATATTGTGCTCTCGATAACAAAATTAATTATCTGAAGTGGAAAAATGCAGGCAAGTGCAGATGTTAATCGACGGATTGCCAGAATAACAGCTCATCTTAATCCGCGCACTAATAATCTTAAGGTGCTTTCTGATTTCCCACTTATTTTCCTTTTATTTATTTTTTACCGTTTAATTCATTTCCGATTTGGTTTCTGACTGAGAAAATCCGTCCTCACCGATGTAAGTTGGCTTCAATATAATATGATTATGAGTAATTTTTAAAAATCTGAAGCTTTTTCGTTTTTTATTGTAGTTTCGTTTAGGGTTCAAAACATTAGGGGTCAGAAATTCTAGCAAAAATCCCTATTTTCATTTGAACTCTATTTTCTTTGGAATAATTTGTTATAATTGAGTGACTACAATTTGATCATTCTCTCTGGTTTGACTAACGGGCACGTAACTGTTTTCTAGATATGGATTAATTCACCAAATTGATGACGTGTACGTTAAATGATCGACTTGAAATAAAATGAAATTTGATGATCAATTAGACATTTTTTGCTAAAAATTTAGCTCTCACTCGTTTTCATAAGCAACTTGGGATTTAAAAGGTGATCGTGCTCATTCTAATGACATTGTCTTGAACGACCCTTGTTGCTTTATAATTATTTGATTGCTTAAATTTGGAAAAAGCTCGTGCTTTTCTTGAAATTTGGAAAAAGCTCGTGCTTTTTCTTGGATCATTTTACTGATTTAAACTGAACTGTTTTTACTTGTCTGAAATGTGAACCTAAAGATGGAAGGGAGTTCGAATTTGAGACTGGAGAACTGTAGGGCAAAAGGAGGATCACCTGGATTCAAGGTGGCAATATTGGGTGCAGCAGGTGGCATAGGCCAGCCATTAGCAATGCTTATGAAGATGAATCCATTGGTATCGGTGCTTCATCTTTATGATGTAGTAAACACTCCAGGAGTAACAGCAGATATCAGCCACATGGACACTGGTGCTGTGGTAATTCATTTTTTATCATTTTTAATTTCCATTAGTTAACTGATATTCTATTATCTGTCAGTTTATTGTA